CCAGGAGCAGGCACAAAATTTGGTACCTCGAAATCATCTAGAAATAAAAGTAGAATCCATATATATAGTACGAGACAAATCGAAAGATATATTGGAATCAACGCCAGGATCCAAGGATCTTTTTTCCAAGGTTGAGTTTTTCCAAGGGGACTCACCTTTATTTTGCGCAAAAAGATCGAAAGATCACCTTAATCCGCACTATCCCTCCACGTGGTGTTCATTTATCTCGGTATATCTCGGGTGTCGATTTCGATGCACTGAACGGCCCCGATCCGCTGGACCTCCGCCGCCCGCGAGGTTCGGTCCTCCACGGTGTTACCGGCAAAGTTTCTTTCACGAAGGATGCCACCACGAGGTGGTGGTATATATATGGCTTTAGAGATCGAGCAGGAACAAGGGGGGGTTCTTGAGAGCCCCTCTTTTCCGGGGCTCCCACACCGGACGAACGGAGAAAGAGAAGATCCCAGGAAGGTAGGGGAGGGATTCGTCGATGCCGCGGATTCTTCTCTTACGCAATCCTTCTCGTGCTCTTACACCCGTGAAAATGGATCGTGAACGATGGATCGTACTTGAACCAGGATTTTTTTCCCACTTTTTCTCCCCGCTTCTCCCCATCTTCGCCGATCTCCGCCGAACGAGGGTGGTTGGAAACGGCCAGATCATCGATCGCGACTCTATCTTCTGCGAGAGATTTTTCGGATCGAACTATCCGCCGTTATCACTCGTCGATACATCGTCGACACGTAGTGGACGTTTATGTAACATCCGTGAAAACGAGGGAGGAATGTTTTCGTTCGCCGAGTCATTTATAATTAAATGCATGGCGGATGGATTAAAAGAATGCGTGAAATTTCTTGGTGAGTACATCCTTGAAGGATCGTCTCATCGATAAGAAATATATATTCTTTTCTTCCTTTCTCGAGAGTCTCTGATATGATCGAAAATTCTCGTTCAAGTCTAGAAGTAGTTTTCCAAGGTTTTCGTGGAAATTAGAAAATTTACGACCAAATAATCGGGATCCAAAAGCGAGTAAAAAAAAAAAATTTCGAAAGTTTTCATTTATCAACTTTGCCGATTTGCAAAAAATGTCGTGGAAGAAAGCAGGAAGTTCCAAAGTAATTCCTTTCTTCCGATACCTCGGGTGTACTTATTACATAGGTACGTCGTAGTTGAACAAAGCGGAAAACAGGAATCTCGCGCACGATCAAGCCATTCATTTCCATACCTGTTTCATCTTCTTCTTCTTCTTCTTCTTCTTCTTCTTCATCTTCTTCTTCTTTTCGATAACCCCTTAATTTTCGAGGCGCGTTCACCGCCAATTAGTATTGCGCATAATTGCTGACCGCGAAGAAGAAGTTTTCGAGATTGACGTGCAAATTCCTCGGAAATAGATGGTTTTGATTTTAGCCGCGGTTAGCATATTTTTTTTTTGTCGAATTAGGTAACAAAGTATTGCGTCGTTTTCGAATATATTCTCCACGTATATGATCAAACGTTTGCTCAGATTCTCAGTTCCCGCGATTAATCATTTAATACCGTAAATAACAAGGTTCTCTTTGTTTCGTTTCGATTTACACGCTTTAAACGCGGAAAAAAAAAGAATAAAGAGATAAAACGCAGGAAGATAGGTGTCGTCTTGAATTAAATTATCGTTAATTATATATTGGGACGATTACAAAATCCGTGTAACACTCGTGGGAAGGTCTGCTCGATTCTTTTACGATTGGGAGAATAGAATCCGTACCACGGAGAGAAATGCCAACGCGTCGTGGTGGAAGGGAAAGAAAACTTTCCTTCTCGTCCCTTGTTGTTGAGCAACGATCAGCGATTAGATATATTTTATGGTCGCGTCAGAAAATCCCTTTATCTAATGAAAAAACCTGGTTCGATTGAAATTTGCAAAAAAAAAAAAAGAAAAAAAAACATTCATCTTAATAAAATGTTATCTTACGAGTGTAAAAACGCGAGTTTTATTACGCACGTTATGCTCGAGAAAGGGAATCGAAGGAGGACCATTTGTTTTAATGGACACTTTCGTCAGACGGTTACTCTACATATATATTTATATATATACTCTATATATATATATATATACTCTATATACATATAAATAGATGTATATAATCTTCACACGCTCGATAACTGTTCGGTCGTTATAGGCTTTCATAATTTCATAATTAGTTGACTTTCGAACATCTTTCCTCACACAAAAGCGACACGAAAGACTTTCTCACGTTTTTACCACTGTCGACCGATTAAATGTATTTAATTACGATATTGTGAGATAATGTATCGGTCGGCATATATATACCCGATCTATAAATTTCATTTTTTTCTTCGAGACTGCGACGAAGTCTAGCCATCCTATCCGACGATAATCTATCGGCTACGGTCGACAATTATCTTAATTAATCTTATCAAATCTATCTAATTGGATGTAGTCTAAATCTTTATCGATTCGATTATATACGTTCGCCGATTGTCTAACTATTATTCACTTTATATCTTTTGTATTTAATCCGCATCTTGATATCCGAGCACACGTGCACACAATCGAAACTTTGCTATCCTTTTTTATTTTTTTATTTTTTTTTTTTTTTTTTTTTTTTTAAACAAAAAAGGGGAAACGGAATCGGGCCTGGGTTTCCCCCTCCCCCCCCTCCCCCATCTTTCTTTTTTTTTTTTTTTTTTTTTTTTTTTTTTTTTTTTTTACGTAACACTCGGTTGGTAACGTATGGATTATATTGCGTTCAAACGTTACGTAAACAATGTAACGTCAATTATAACGAATCCTAGGAAACGATCTTCCAATTTTTTTTTCCTTGTATACCGATGCAAGCTTCAACTCACTTTTACACACTTTTGCTCCATCGAGAGAGAAGTTTTGTTTACAAATGATTTTTATCATTCGTATCATCGGTATCATAAACGATATTCATCGGCACGCTTGCTTTATTTATTCTAACGATTCATTCCGATTGTGCATCGGTATACACGAAGGTTGTCCCACATTCGACACTTGTTCACGAGCAAATTAATAAGCATTCTAAAGGCTTATTGCGCAACGGTCGATACATCCAACAAAAAGAAACAAAAGCGTGCATAGTCATTATGGGGGCAAAGAAAAAAAAAAA